TATGGTGGACGTGATGGTTTTACTTAGAGTGGAATGATGGCATTCAAAGGTTATTTATATTATATATTATTGTTATCGGGACTTATCCCTTCGATAATAAATATTGTACAACCTCTTCTTGACACCATCGAGCTCAATAATTGCAACGAGGACGAAAACGACGTCTTCAACGACGAAGAAGGACGGACATCATCGTGAGATGGGAAATACTGCATCAAACACCAATCAAAGTTCACGCTCACCTGTCCCGAGCAGAAGAATTGACTCATCTGCACGCCGACAAGCCCCATCACATTCACCATCACCCAATCCCCATCAACCTCATCGCTCGTTACGGACAAAGAAAAAATCGCTCGAACTTCCTGATCTTGCCTCTCTCTCGCTGACACCAGCAGCATCGTATCACAACTCTGGGAATTCTTCCCCCTTATCACCTTACCGTCGACCACTGAGAACAACTTCCCCAATCCCGATTCCGAATCCTGCTTTTAACAATGGAACAATGAATAATGCTTCAAATACAGGCACTTCCCCTCGTGGACGTCGGCCGGATTTGAAAACCGCAAACAGAGTTACTGATACGGGCAACTACTCCGCAGAACTACTCTTAGATCACCCTCCATCCACGCATATCCCGGTGCATCATAACCCTCGCTCACGAGGGAGCCCTTACTTCAGAGGCGCACCTTTGCAATATAATTCCACTCATTCTTTTCCTGTGCGCGGTCAGTCTGCTCAGCCTCGTATGCAAGAACTCTATGCCGAAAGTGAGATTGAGGCATCTGAGCAACCTAATCCATCTGGCTTCATCCAGGAGACCGTCCATTCAACCATCCCGCTTGCCCTTCACAAAGCGGAGGAGGAGATGGTCAAATCGCCAAATGCTGACACCGATGGAGAGAACGGCCAACTGATGAATCGACCAGATCAATCACATGAGGAACCAAAAGAACCCGTCTCTGTGAAGATTACATGGAATGGGGGTGGGAAAAGCGTTGTCTTGGTTCGTGCTGGAGACGATGATTGGAAAGGTCGTCTGCCTATGGAGCCCGAGTACGTCGTCTCCTTTGTAGCCTTTGCCCTTTTGTTAATAGCTTATCATAGCGATCCATCGAGCGATAAATCATGGTCCGCACGGGTACCGCTCTTGCCTGGTACTCATCATATTCGATTCATCGTTGATGAACAGTGGCGGGTAGCAGATGACTTGCCTACTGCCGTTGATGATGAAGGTAGTCTTGCAAATTACGTTGCTGTTCCTATGTCCGGCTTGACTCCACCCCACGTGTCGTCTGTTGCCCCTGCTACGCCGGGGCGCCCTCCACACCCTCATGCGCACTCATTTTGGTCAACAACAAGCTCTACTCACGGCTCCATTATGGATACAAACGATTCAAAGGGTACGCTTGCAAAGTGGACGGATGATATCCCCGCAGGGCTTATAGCAGCTGCTCGGGAGGAAGAAGCCTACCTAGCGTACACAGCCGGTCCCGAGTACGATCAGACACCTTATCAATATGTCCCTACTCCCAACATTCCACCTGCTCCTGGACTGCCACGGCATCTTGATAAACTGATACTGAATGCGAAACCCGGGCAGTCTCCCGCAGGTAACAGGGGCAGGGAACGTGATCGGGAACGTGAACGTGAAAGGGAGCGCGAAAGCAAACGACGACAAGGACGATCCCTTTTGGGAATGACGAGCACTGTTGCTCGTGACCTTCACAAGGAGGAGAGGACAGAACTTGAAGCTCCTGCAATTCCTATCACTACGGCAAGCGGCACGGATGTAACTAGTGTGCATCTGGCAGCCCCTGCGCATACTCGGTTGGGTCTGGATGGTCCTGGGCTCAGCGATGATGCTAGCGTTCTTCCTGTTCCATCTCATGTTGTTTTGCATCACTTAAGTACCAGTGCAATTCGCAATGGTGTCTTGGCCGTGGGTAATACCACACGATATCGCACGAAGGTTTACATTTTCGTATCATAGCATCCATCACGATTACTGACCATGAAACCGCAGTATCTCACGACCATCTATTATAAACCTACATGACGATTTTCGGTTTATCTTGCCTTTCCGGCTGGTACAGTTGCATCTGCAATCAGGAGATCGGCCTGAATGTGGCACAATAAATCGACGATTTTTAGATCCTCTGTCTGCTATCTCGATGGCTTTCGAAGCCCTTGTGTTGAGGTATCATCATCATACGCAATCGTTGATCCATTTTCCCTATTTTCTTTTCTGAAGCTGGCTCTTTATATCTTCTACTGCTTTTTTGTGATGACCGCTTGTACGACGTTCTATATTGCTGCACCACGACAGACCAGACATACATGACATGATGGACCAACCTAGCTACGATCTCAACATATTAGAATACCCACCAAAATGTATCTTCCGTATGTCTGGAAAATTGTAAATACAGTTGGATTATCTACTACTGGGATAAAGCAGCTTCCTTGATATGCCTAATTACAGTATATCACTCGTCAATAATAAACTAGACGAAATAAACCGCAAATTCAGTCGCTGGGGCACTATGCCAACTCGAAGTTGCCCACGAAATTTCTTCGTGAGTACTACGCCGTTTCCTTTTCTCGCACACTGCTCGCTAGAACGGCTCGCACTGCGCAGAGCACCGCGTCTTAACACTAGTCGTTGTTTATTGTGGTACATATATAAGAAATATAGAAATTCTTTCTCTAAAACTTTCTATCTGGGTTTGGCCCTGGCTACGCACGCAGCCAGGCTGGTCGATCTCGGAGAGGAGAAGCCGGAGTTTGAAGATTTGCAGTTGCTGATTGTGCCGCTTTGGGTATGCACTGAACCTCTCGTTCATGTATGGTCCGATACTCGATACTACTCCTTTCAATTCACGTAGCGCAGCAGGAGTACCGCCGACACAATCGGCAACTGCAAATTTCAAACACCGTGCTTTCTCTGCCAAGATCGACCACGGCAGAATGGTTATGAGTCTATTCGGACTTTCACTGGTGCACCTCGCTCCGCGGCATGTAGTTTTTCTTGGCAACTTGTTTAGCAGCGAACACAATTGAAGATCTAGAATGAAATAATCATGTGATTATTTTTATGACCATGCGGAAATCCTGTACAAAAATAAACCATTTCATATTACATAATACCCAAATTCTCTGAGACACCAGAAGTCGTTGAGCATAGGGGGATAGATATCGGTACCAGCCGCTTAATGCTACGAGATCTGGATAGCAGCATAGCATGCATCCAGCTGGTCAGTTTCCCAACAGCAACACCCTTTACACCTCCATACCGTTACCTTGTACTCACTCTTTCCCATATTGGCAATCGCCTTGGTTTCTACTCCCACCACGTTCGAAGTACTATTGTCCACTGGTGCGTATTCTCGTCACCGTTGGAGTGCGGCGGAGCTTATGATCGCTGAATCTAAAATTCATTCAGGATTGCCTTCGATTTCGAAGACTGTCAGGACCCGGTCACTGGTTTATTCCTGAGATATCAATGTTTGGCTTGGACAAATCAAAGCGTGCGCGTAGACTATTCCTTGTACGTCGGGCCCGGGGGCTGCGGCAACATACGTGACGTATGCTTCCAGAGGAAAAAGAGTACGAATAGAGGAGCGTGGCGACAACACACATTATCGTATCGAGAGCCTGAAGATGGCCATATCGTCCTCGCACAAGCCAAGACATTGTACAGCATAAACATCACATTCATTACAGACACAGATACATGCAGAACGCGTACCTGGTCCATGTCGTCGGTGCTGTCCACCATAGGGCTTGGGCTGCTTGGCCCTAGCGGATAATACCACCGAAGATGAAAAAATGACAGCACACTGATGGAGCTGCCGGATGTCATTTTTTACGTCGTTGTGGTGAGCATCTAATGTTTTTTGACTGTTAGAGCCGAGAGTGCCTTTACTTGTGAGTGCTAGTCATGGCGCAGCTTCGCTCGTCGCGTCATCACTCGGCAGCGGTACCATCGGCCAATTGTGACGTGAGCTAAGTGGAAATCATAAAGCCTTACTCACTATCACAGGATTTTGTCTACAAGAGCACACTTGGCTTCCCGAGACAAAACCAATCACAATATTCCAAAGGTCTCGGTCACAAACACGTTCACCGTCGGCGGCCGTCGCATCATTGTTGACCCTTCTCTAGCCAGATTTCTTGAACATTGTCGCCTATTTCGGGCATTACTTTCGAGATTTGTTTTGTTTTCGATTGTGGCTGTAAGTCCATGTGCCTTTGGGTCAATTATCAAAGACACTTACGTGCTAAATGACATGGACATGAGCATAGCATCACGGAGTTTCGAAAGTCCATATGTGCCTGCCCAAGTTCCATTTACTCGGAATAGTTTGGAGCAAGCAAAGCCCCGAAGTGTGTCTCTCAAAAATGAATGTGGATAGCCAAACGATCGACGAAATAATCGGGCTTCGAATGTGGCTGGTGTTGCGGACTCCGAGAATTACCCGGGCTAACCTACGGCTCCGAAGCCTCATCTAGCTAACGTTAGTGCATACTTGATCCGTCCAAACATGTGCATAACTGCATAGCCTTGGATGCGACACATTTGCCTCACAACTGCCCTTTTTCATGATGATGATCATCCCATCAATGACAATACACGTGTCAGCTGATGTTTCTACCAACTAACTTCCGAGTCGCTGACTCCATTGATGCTTTTTTGCCGTAGTAAAATGCAGGAGTAATTACGCTGGAATTAATGCTTCTCGTCTATGACGTCATATTTCGGTATCTTACCGACTCCGAGCCCGAGTCGGATGCACAGGCGGATTGTAAGTCTTGAGCTTGAGAGGGATCGCACTAACACGAGAAAATTTAAACCTGTGCAACGTGTAGCACTGATGTGTAGTTTGTAAAAGCACTTGATAGATCTGTCATTAAACATCAATTGACTCACCACGGTCCGATTCAAATCTAATCAAACCTTGCACTGGTAATATAATCGGTGGGCCGGCTCAAAAAATATGTCGGCTAGATTGGGAACCTCGCTATAAGGTTGAAATGGGATTCCTAAGTTCGGACTTCGCCTGATAGTCCAAAAAAAAACCAAGTTTACGAAACTTGCGTGGCGGGGTAGAGGATGTTATAAAAGCAAGCTTCTAAATCCACCTGTACACTCACCCAACTGTGCGATTGCGACTATGCATCTCTACCGTGGCATGCAAAGCTACCAGCGTCCTGCGAAGCAAAGCAAAATTGCATCGCAGAGGCAGTATCGGGTCAAAGAGGGCGACGGGTTCCAAGAACTCAAAGACGTAATTCGCGCAGTGACAGGGGAGACTCCCCAGACCAGGCGCGAAACCTTGAAGAAAGGTAGGTTTGCTTTGAAACACGTTCTGCTTGCATGATCGCTTATCCCCTTCACAGCTGCACAACTCCTGCAGGATTTATCGAGAGAACCTGGGGCGATTTCTAGGCATGAGCCGCTCCCGCCCTTGGAATACTCGTCAGCATCACCCTATGAAGCTGACCAGGGATCTCACACGACTTATGGTACGCGTTTTCAGCTCGTCGGCGACAGGATCTCATAGATATCCCCAGAACCTCTCGTAATTCCCAACAACGAGACATGGACAAACGCTATTGCGTCAAGGAACAGTAGCCCAATGTCAGACACATCGGTGACGAGCTCGATGCTAGAGTATCAAGGCCACCCTCAGACAGAGATCCACCATGTTGTCGGTGGTGGGGACAACTGGAGTTTAGTTCAACCAACCCCTTCACAATTTCGACACAATTCGTTCCCCGGACAGTGGAACGACATGTCGCTCATTCACTCGAACATAGACCGAGTCCCATACTACTTAGAAAGGGTAGAAGTAAATTAGGTTATATGTCGGAATTCGAGGAATCCTTGAATATTTTGAGTACTTGTAGCATCCATGATCTATTACTTTTACAGATTCACCTACCTTGTAGCTTTTAGTCGACCTATTTATTAGACCCATATACCCTTGGCATATACCCAACGAGAGGGCGGCAAAACCGTTCGATATCCTGGATGCTCCATAACAAAATAAGCCACTATACTCGCATCAGTCACAATATTAATATTGAGATGCAAAAATAGTGCGTACTATATTGGTAATCCAAACGTGTCAGCTGAGATCTTGTCCATATCAGTTTGAGGCACGCAGAAAATACTATAGAATACATAGTGAGAGTTTGTGTGCACGTCCTTACTAAAGGACTGGTAAAAATGACATAAGTGAAGATCGTTGCTCACTCTAATCTGCAAACGTAACATGATAACCGCGGTGTTCTTGTTGCAACGATCATCTTTCCAAAATACATCCCGAGAAGTGCGAAATACAAGCGTGCGACTGCTGCCGCCAATACATATCGAAGAACAAACCATGTGCATCTGGATGATAGAGCGGGATTACATGATTATGCAGGGGAGATGGGGCGATGTCCAAAGTTAGGGTAACGTAAGATGACTGCAGCCCAGGGCACGACGAACCACGGGTGGTGTTGGTGAGATGTATTGATACCCCTTGCTGTCAATCCACTGCAGGGGTCATTCCATAAGATGGTTGAGAGCAGATGAGTCAACCACACGAAGAGTGGCGGAGATGGGTCGACTAGCAACCAACCATATTGAAGAGCATCACCTCAGGGCCCTATCACGATGATGGTGCATTATTGGGATCATATAACAGACACCTCCAACACCGTGGCAACAGGGAACGGAGACTTGGGATCAAACCCTGCGATGACGAGACTTCGTTTGGCCTTGTGTATAGGAAACCATCTTGGAAAGGTCAGACAGCCGCCCGTTTGTAGAAGGCGGCTGATCAAGCACGATTTTTGATCCAGAATAAATAAAAAACTGATGCATGCGTGGAGTGACGATTTTTGATTTTCGACAATCAGAGCGTGAACAGTGGACGAGACTAGCTGATCCGGAGAGAATGGAAATCGAGCGCGCGCTTGAAGAACCGATCAGAAAATCACGTGGTGTTACTGTTTTTGCCAATCTGGCAATTGCCGGCGAACTTCAAGTTTGCAAGTCTCCTTGGTAAAACTTGGCACAAACCAGAGGGGTACTACAGAATACATCTGTTACAATGCATGTGGTACAACAAGGTTTACTCAGCTTGACGCCGCAAACCGATGTATGATGGTGGTCAAAACTTTCAGCTCTGTCATCAATGGTAGATCAAATCTTCAGAATGAGTCAAACAGAGTTCGTTGCACAGGCGAGTGCCAATTCAGGAATTCACCGTACATATGCGGGATAGTGAATCAAAAGCTCGGCTCTGCCAAGGGTAAGTCACGGTAGCAACATCAACTAATTGTTTCTTGCCTCGGCACCACAACTTGAATGTTGTTCGATTTACAGCTTGCAAGTCGCAATCAAAGTGAATGCACTTGACAGGACAATCTCGTCGTGAAATTGCTTTTTGGCAATGAGGGTACGAACGCACGCACTCTACTTTGAACGCTTGCCTGCACGTAAAGAGATGCTGCCGCACCTACCCTCATGTGATGATGTCCTTTAATCTATTGAAAATATTAATGTTCGCTCTGATCTCAAGATTTCAGAATTATTTACCCAAAATCATGGAGGAACGTTACGTGGCACTAGTATTCTGATGAAAAGGAAGAACTGAGTCGGGTGCTCCGGATCCCAGTACTTGGCCCGCGGAAAGATCCAGTTGGCCTCGACGAGTATCTTTCTGACATCGATAGGCATCGCCTGGACGTCCTCGGAGGCCCGTCATCGTCGTTCCGAGATATCATACACTAGTTACAAACCTTAGAAGTTTTATGAGAAGTCGAGGCACAGTACGATCGGAGAACGTTCCAGTAGCCAGAGAAAACTTTTAGTAGTTTTGACGATGTATCAGTTCACACGCTCTTTATAATGGTCAACTTCAAGTTACCTTTGTATTTGTTCGTACAGAACGTGCCCTACGCATACGCAATCGTTGGGCTGTGTAGAAGAGACCATCATCGTGTTTATGTTTCCTGGAACCTGTGAATGTGGTTATCATCCCTGATCAAGGCCTGAGGCCTGAAGATCAGAAAGTAGGGAACGAGTTGCTAATTAAAGACTTAGCTGAGCCGGATCAGCCCCAGTGACCCACTGGACATTAATATTGCAGGGGTGCCCAGCGCCCAGCTGTCAGGACGTGCGAGAAACACAAAGTTGTGTAATGACATAAAAGGCTTACGTATGTGGAGCGCATGCAATTGAACACGTGTGCTATGATGCGCGTAGCGCAAACTTTGAATATTTTCTGATGCATTTCTCGCACTCATTTCGCAACTGCATGGATTCCGCAACGTCTACATTTTCTATCTGCTACTTGCAGGTGCAGTGCGCCAGGTACTAGCATGTCATTAACACAGGCTCTCTTGTTCTCTTACCATCACGTTCCTTTGGTCACCCAACGCTACTGCAGCCGATAATAACCCACTCAGTGGTCCTGAACACTTACGTTTCCTCGATAGCAGCACCTGCCTCGGAGTCTTTGTAGCAGCAGCACCGTGGATCAAACATTCGCTCAGGGTTTCTCGAACTTTGTTGTTTTCGGTCAAGATCACCATCCAGGCTGTCGTGGACAGTACCTCGTACTAAGTGTACGCATCGCGTGCTTCTCGGACCATCCAATTGCTTTCGTGCTGTGCTTGGACCGCTTGTCAACGTTTTCGCGCTATCATTCGTATTGCAGGGAGCGTATTGCATTTGCAGTAGCCATATGCAACATGGTGTGGCTCGCATGATAGCGACGAATACATGCAACTACAACCTCATTTTAACGCTCGTCCAACTTCAATCGAGGAGTCCGAAACGAACAGCTTGTCTAGGTCATTGTTGCCGTTCGCGAGTGCGAGTGCAAGTGCGAGGATGACGCTTGATGGCGGTGGTACCGGCGCAGGCTCCCCGGGTGAGATGCGGTTAAGGCCCGAAACATCGATGTTAGTGACGGCGTGTCCAGCGTTGGCGGCGGTGAAATGTAGAACGAGTTTGGCGGAGAATGATAGTGGTCACACGATGGTGTGGGCGCCAAAAGCACATTTTCAGTGACCAGAGAAGGACGAGGGCAGCGAAAGAGATGGCCGAGGTTTTCGTTCTTACGTTGTGCTGTGCGTGCCATTGAAAAGCCAAGAATGTTACGTAATAAAACTTAGTTGTACCCCGGGCCCGACTCACCGCCCGAGGTTTACTGTTACTGCTAGTGACTGGCAACTGCCCGGGCCCAAAACTCGAAGTGTACGACAACTTTAGCATGTCTAATACTACAGCCAGCGACCTCGCGAAACTCACAGTCCCTCAGCTCAAAGTGTTATGCAAAGAACGCCGCATTATCGGGTATTCGAAACTCGGGAAAGCTGCTCTGCTCTTGAAATTAAACAATAATGATACTACCCGCGGTGATACCCAGTCTCAAGCTGTCATTTCGATCCAACCATCAATATCGAAAGCAACAGCACCAGAACATATAGGTCACCCAGCCGACCTAGCTCCTGCACTCTCCACTGGAGTTACTGCTCTCAATCATACTCGTAATGCACAGACAGCAAACAAGGACCTTACAGCTACATCCGCAGAAAAATCTGCCCTATGCAAAGCACTGCCGGTGTCTGGTCCGGTGTATCACTCAGCTGCCAACCATTGTGCATCACCGATGCTTGTCGTTCCATCAACTCCTGACGCTCCTAACGAGAGCCAGAGCACGAAACGGCCCCGTGTTTCTGCTATATTCGAGTCCACGACAAGACAAAAGCCCTCTCTTGTGAATTCTGTGTCTGTCTGTGATGCCAACTCCTCTTCAAGTTCCACGAAGTTACCCGGAACCCTCAAAGCAAGTGGTTCGACTTTTGCCACCGAATCCCCGGGGGCAGCTGGTCATCTTCCACACAACTCTAGTGCTAGTGCTTCATCGAATGCAGTACCTATTGTCGCTCAGCCTCAAAATATCAACCTCGTTCAGAAAGGTTCTAAAACAAAACTTCAAGGCCGATTCAAACCTCCCGTTTTCACAACAGCTCCGATTATCACTAGTACATTACTAACCTCCCGGCAGGTCTCCCACAACGACTACCGGGTTGACAAAATCACTTCCATATCCCCAGATACTTTTAGCCTTGAGGCCGCCCCCATTTCAATGTCATCCTTAATGAATATTACACTTCCGCCTAAGCTATCTGACAGAAAACGGGTTCAAAGCTTGGCAGTAATCCTCTCTGCACTCACCAATCAAGATCGCCAGACTTGCACCATGGTTTCTCGAACATTTCGATATGCAGGTAAGATACAATTTGGAAGTTTGGCATATCTCTAACGATATTCCCATGCAGTGTACCTTTCTGCCACACATATGCTCACTCAGAAGTATCATGGTCGCCGTCTGAACCAAATAATGAAGCGCCATCCACAAAACACGACGAATATGTGGCCCTACCTGCGTCAGCGTCAGAACGAAGCGACTTTCTGGAGACATGCGTTCCGAAATTCTTGGGTTGGAAGGTACAACTCTTTGCTTGGAATAGACCCTCTGTCTGCACGTCTCTGGGCGAGCGCAGATGATGAGAAGCAAGTAGTGGTGGCGCTGAGGTATGCTGTTTTTGATTCATCACAGAGCGCGCTCAAGCATTAGGTTTAGATTTATCCTCACAAGGCTTTGGTTCACGCTCTCTGTCGGAACGAATGAGCGAGATCCATCAGCATGGCTAAAACACATCGTGGAAGATGCCCAAGAAGTTGTGAAAGGTGAGATCTGGGCTATCACGATTCGAGACGGAAATTCGTTATCCGAGTTCTACGTACTGGAATCCACATGCGAAGTCATCGGCCGGGCACTCAATGCTCCTCAACTTGAAATCTACTCCTCTGGTTTGCGCGCCGACTGGTCAAGATACATAGCGTCTCACACTGGTATCTCTGCGGGGCCACATAACTTATTCTCAGGAAATCTTCGATGGGCGAATTACGAGGAATACGACCGAGGAATGAGCAGGCACTGGCTACACCGCATCTCTAGTGAAGCCGACGTCGGCTTATCAAAAAAGGTGGTCGCTGAGCGATATGTCCTGGCGTGTGTGGTTGCCAATAGGTGATCTACTGAATGAGATGGCTCACTTCGGAACATATTGACAGTTGGCAAACAGCATTAGTGGCCAGTGGATGTCATCTAACCAGATGGCGCAGGAATTCGCAGGTCTGCCATCTCAAGTAACCCCTGCAGCTATCAGAGGCAAAACTCCGAAGATTAACCTTTACCTACCAGCGTAAGCAGTGATTTTGTGCTTTCGCTCAGTGCTCTCAAGACTCCTTCATAGCCACCACCATGTCGAGAGCGTTCACTTTACCACACCAAAAGGTGTACCATTGCATCCGGCTCTTGCCGTCATACAGACCCCAGCAAGAGAGTACGTCGTCTTGAAGGATAATGGAATGCAGGTCGGATGCGAAGAAGATGGTGTTGCAAACGTGTGGATGCATGTGCTTGGATGCGACGAAAACGGTATAGCGGTTTCTAAATAATTCATGATGCAGCCAAAATTCTCGAAACAATTCCCGCGCTTGCTTCATGTTCATCTCCTATCGTTATGTCTCTCACTTTTGAGGGTGTCAATGTCGTCGCTTCGCGCGATCTCTCTGCTTCGTTATCTTCTGTAACATCGCAAATTCATTTGGCGTCTTGGACGTAGCAACCCCGTGCTTGATATCCCAATTCATGCTCTGATTTCATCTCGGATGGCGCTGTCAATTTCTCGATCGATTTCTCGTTTCTTGCGGTCGATCACGCATCCAGTGACATTTTTTTTTGGTCGTGACTGGCTAGCATATTGTTGGGATATAGCTGAGAATCATCAAGACATTCGACTGCCTGTACACCAGTGTTGCTTTCGTCAGTGCCTCCTTTTCTTTAATGGTCTACAATTGACTGATGTTGACGTAATACAATGTACTCACTTGATTTGAAGACCGAACTCCTTTTCAATGCGAACTATTTGCTCATCTGCAGTCAAGCCAGACCCATTCTTCTTTCAGTGAGGCGGTGGTGTGTGGAGAAGGGAGTAACAGTATCCCTCGGGTACGAATACTTGGAGGCAGTCGTCTACTTACCAGACATGACCACATGCATGTTTGCGACTAGTGGGTACGATGAACCGACTCCTGGACTCGATCAGGCCATGGGATAACAGTAGATCCCTGTGCTTGATGGGCACACTCAGACTGACAGCGTCATGGTCTACGCCATTGCAAGCCAAATCTCCAAATGGCCGCATCCTCGCAAACGCCATCAGAAAACGGCACAACGCGATTATGGAACCTCGACAACAGCCTGGCAGCCAGCCCATCAATTCGCCCATCCACCATGCAACTACAATGACATCCTGCGTACCGGGAGCTCTCCACACATGGGAGCGCGAATGAACCAACCGTTTCGCCCTTGCGCATGGTAGTGATTTCTGGACCGCATCACATACATATCGAATAACACAATTGTATCTTAATCACACTTTCACGGGCGGCAGCTCCCACTGATCTGGCCCAAACCGCGGTATAGACATCATCACACCCGCATTGTTTCTGGAAGGTTTCGAAAACGTGCACATACTCTGTTTTCCCAGACTCGACAGCCATGCAGGATTTATGACCGTTAGCCCTTCGTGTTTGTCAGCATGTATCAGATTTGCAGCGGCAACAAACAGACCTTTGATCCAGGTCCGTGATGTTTGGACTACTTCAGAAAAGACGAGATAGTCTGGTGGAGGGCGATTTGCAAGCACAGACGTTGGATGAATGAAAACATCCCCGGGTACTCCCACCGCCGCATACGGTACACCTTTAGCAGTCGAAAACTGCCTTCCACTGGAGTTTTTTTGTATAAGATCCTTCCGTACTGCTACTTGATCAATAAATGCCGCGGCAAGCAGTTGACGGATAGCTTTGAGCTAAACGAATTGATGTCACCAAAGTTAGAATGCATGACAAGACACCGCTTACCTGAGTGTCTTTGGGAGGTCGGATGTTCGTGTTAAAGCGGACTTCAGCGTTTTGGAAGCTTGTTTCTGCAATGCTGCTCAGCTGAGCTCGCAGTTTGCGTATTTCTTCCATGGCCTGTAGTCTCGCGTCATGTTGCCGCGAGCTGGATATTATGACTATTGGACGTACCTTGGGCCTTACGAAGTGGGCCTTACAAAACTCGTGACCGCCTCCAGAATACTCATAGGCCCCGACAACAGAGAGTAACCTGAAAATGTCACTATTAAAATTACCCAGCGAGCCATGAATCTATTTTAGCGTTCAGTAAAATTTCGGACAAATAGGTGGAAGACGAGCCTGCTGAGACTCAAAGAATGTCCGCCGACGGGCCCTCCTCGCCTCTTTCGCTCTAATGGAAGCGTTCTTGATGTGTCCCAGTCCTTCATCGTCGCTATCGGACTCGCTATCGACGTCTAACCCTTCTTCACGAAGAAAAGGGTCCCCGACCGACATAGCTGCCACGATCGAGATTACATATGGCAGGCAGCCATGTTGTTGGCTCCCAACAAGCAATCGAGAAAAGCGCGGGGAAAGCGGGAACAAGCTCATTGCCTTCCCTAGAGGCGTCACTTGGCCCCCGATCGTTGACATAGACACCCCCGCTTGCGATACGAGAGGTGTACTACTGAGCGCACCAAGACGAGTGAGGACCGTCTCAGCCTTCTTCAACACCTGTCTATCTGGAGGGGTTGGGAAAGGGAAGTTGACAACGGCGTCGATGTTCATGCTTTTCATCTGCAAAACGACACCCTCAATCGGTGTGCGCAGGATTTCAGGCTGTGAAAATGACTCGAAATAATGCTCGTAAAGAGCGGAGGAATAGAGCCTGTAGCAGTGTCCTGGACCTGTACGACCCGCGCGACCAGCTCGTTGGGCGGCGGAAGCTTTGGAGATCCAGCTGACCTGAAAAGACTGGATACCGCTCGCTATATCATAATGTCGCTTTATACACTGTCAGAGTGTGCTTTTCACTATCGATAGAAATGCTCGTACCTCTTTCGCTCGACCAGAATCGATTACGTAACGTATGTTTGGGATCGTAAGGGAGGTCTCTGCGACATTTGTTGATACTACCACCAAACGATAGCCTGGTGGTGGTGTATCAAAAACTCGCATTTGTTTCTCGCTCGGCAAGAGCGAGTACAAAGGAACGACGTGCATTGGGACTAGATTCATGTTACTTGAGCTTGTCAAATATCAAAATATCGAAAAGTTACCATCACACTCCTCGATATCGATGCCAAGTTCAGCGTTGAGGCCATCTTCGTCATCACTATCAAGGCCTTCAGGATCTTCCTCCGCAAGGTCTCCATCTACATCGAGTGCTAACTCCTGCTCATGAATGCCAAACTCGATATCTTCGGCTTCAACGTCGGCTGTAAGTTCCTTTTGAGATAAAATCATTAGATTATTGCCTAGAACTCCTCACCGTGAAGCGGAGTGACAGCACAGGGAGCTTCACTGGCAACGGATTCTGCAAAAATAGAAGAAGCTTGGACAACTTGTCTCCTCTTCTTTCTTGCTTCCACAGCTTTTCTGCCATATCGTGCCTCGAGCTTTTTGCAGACGCCCTGGATTTCATTTTGCCCTGTCAAGAATATGAGGATACCTCCCGGTGGCAAACGAGCATGAATCTTGGCCGCTTTCTTGACTGCTTCGCGGACATAGTCAGTAGACGTCCGCCGATTGAAGTGTATTGTTACAGGGTGCTGGCGAGCATCAACATTGACAACTGGAGGCGGCGACGAGAAGAGGGTCTGATTCTCTGCGAAGTCGCCGACGCGTAGGGTCGCCGACATGATTATAAGCCGTAGTGGTCTCGTACCATCTGTACCATCCTTCCACATTTGTTCGCGTAGTTTGATTACTCGACTAAGGACGCCGATCAAGATATCGGTATTCATACTACGCTCATGCGCTTCGTCGATGATAATCACCGAATATTTTGAGAGTAAGAAATCGGTAGCAAGTTCACGCAAAAGCACCCCATCGGTCATAAACTTGATCGTAGTTGAAGGAGACACGGTTGCGTCGTATCGGATCTGGTACGATACGCGGGAGGAGGTCAAGGATATTTCACGAGCCACTCGAGATGCCATCGACATTGCCGCAACTCGCCTTGGCTGCGTAACGCCTATCATGCCCGGGTTTTCTGCATACATCAACATCAGTCATCATGAGATATACTCGTACAGGCAAACTAACCTCCAGTAGGATCGCCAAACCCGGCTTCGTAGAGAAACTGTGGGACCTGAGTAGTCTTTCCGCTACCAGTTTCACCGCAAATGATCACCACTGGATTGAGCATTATGGTTTCCATGATGGGCTGCTCTTCTGCAATGATAGGTAACTGCATCCTGGACTCCTGGATATCAAGGGGACGAATGACAGACACCGACTTTATGCTTCTAGAAGATGATTTAGAGGAAATTTTCGTCATGCATTCGGCAAACGATGTAGAAGGAAGCTTTAGGTCTTCACCCAGGGGACCGCGCATTAAATTCGGCTGTGACGATATCGACTTTCGTTTTTGAGATGCAGGTGCGGCTGGATGCTCGATTTCGAGTAACGATGGTGTCCCTTTAGTAACATCGTGGCCTTTCGCTGTGTTGAGCTGTTTTACGGCCCAGTCCTTGAATCCGAGTCGTTTCTTTGCAGGTGGAGGACACTCTTCTTCCTCGTCTGAACCCACCGCTGAGATGTCCCCTTCTCGATCGTCGTCGTGGTGTTCTTCATCCGTATCGTAGGCCGAATCAGAGCTGTCAAATGATGAGTCTGATTCCTGTTCTGAAACCCCTGTGTGTGGCACCCTTCTTTTCCAGCTCGGAAAGGAGGCCTTCCGAGAAAATAAGTCAGTTCGAAAGTTCCTCGGTTAGAGCATGAGCATACATACTATTCGACTCTTTGCATTCTTTTTATTCACGACTAGGGGTGCCACGACAGAACCATCAGGATTCCGTTTGAGCGCTCCACCAACGGTAAATGTGGATGCAGCTGGCTGCGAGACTGTCGAAGCCGTAGGAGGATCCGTGAAGAACTCCTTCGTGACTGGTCCCTCATGTTCATGTTCATCATGTTGCTCTGGTGTTTGATCAGCTTTCTCAACGAATCCAATTCCATCCATCGCGTCGGATTCGTCTTCGCTATCTCCGTATTCATGAATAGTGAAATCGTTATGGCGCCGTCGACGTTTATTGGGATGGCCCTCCATGGCACGACGTACTTCCTTATCTTCTAGCTTTTCCTGGCGTTCTCGAGCTGTATAGGTGGCTCCTGTACCAAGAGTAGATGACGATTGAAGATCAAGGCTTGAAGTTTGAGCTTGTGTCTGGCTATAAACCTCTGTAAAGATGCGACGATGAAATGCGGAAACTTCACATACGCTAGCTTCTCAAAAATCACAAGTCTCTCTTCTTTCCTTAGTTTTTTTTCCTACAAGCACCGTTGTACAACTCTTCTGGAGGGCAGGGAGATTGACGTACAACATACTTTTCCAGCCTCTTCCGCTTCTGTCTCGATACTTTGGATTCTGACTGTGCTGCAAGCTTCGGCCCGTATCAGCGTCTCCTAGCCTTCAAGGATGTAACGGGCAGACCTCTCTCACGAGCCTCTCTTTTCTGTCGCGTTCCTTATCTTCGAGCGACTTGTATTCAAGGATCGCGGCGTTGGGATCAGGGACATCAACTGTAGGGACGACACCGTTGCTTTTACGACGCGCCTTCCCCTTCTTCCTCGAGCCTGCTGTGGACCGGCGCGCCTTGGAATTGTGTCGCTCATCCATGAAGCTTTGAAGCGTCAGGCTGTCTTGGTGAAAGTTGCAGTATAGACTTTTCCAATAACCATAAAATGGTTATGTAATCAGGCAATAATCAGGGGCGGGCAAGTTGACCCTTCAAGTGTTGTGACTGTACATAGTGAAGAGAATGGATAACGAGATGCAGCCCCAAACAGGGTTCCTGTCTCTTGCTGAAGAACTCTTGTTTTACATTCTGAGCTTCCTTCCCTACCGAGATATTCTTCGGTGTACATCTGTGGGTCGCCATTCACGTTATCGTTGTTCTAGATACTAGACTGCGGCTATTCTGACGATCCTCTTGCAGGTATGTAGAACCCTTCGCCAGACGTACTTGTCCTCCTCCGAACTTCAGTACATCGTTGAAATAAGTGGACAACAATTGCTCGCTATCCCCAACACGGACAATAACATACCTATTTCTAAGCGTCTGCAACTTTTGAGAGACAAAGCTCACGCATGGTTCAAGGTTGACATCCACTCTTTCGAAACGGTCTCCATAACAAGGGCACCGCTATCTCGAGAAAACATTGTTGCTGGTGGGCATTTCTGCTTGTGGAACACACACGAAGATACGGCCATGATCTTTCCGATACTTCCAAAGCCCTCACAACAGTCAATCCAGCGAAACTGGCTTCCAGGAACGTTGTGTTCGGTTCCACATTCATACAACCTTGATGTTTTTATGGACCCAGCACAAAACCTGATCGCTGTCGCTTATGTTGTTCATCGCAAGACAGTCTATATTAACCTTGGAGCCCTAGATGGTGATGGTGTTCACCCTCAGGCTGCTGGAGAGAGACTGTTTTTGTTGGACGACTCGGAAAACCACCCTGAAACGACAAATGCAAAGCTCAAAGGTTTTGGGAGGCATATCGCTCTGTCGCGTCGCTTGGACGATGAAAATTGGACTTCGTCGGACAAGGTGTGGCAACTGCAGATTTGGGACTGGAAATACTCGACAACATCCAGTGTGAGCTTTGGTTTGAAATAGTTGAAAGACTTGACGGTTGATTCTGAATTTAGAGCATCCTCAGTGGTGCAGTACCCAACCGATCCGGCGCCGCAATTGATTTTTGTTTCCTCGGCAACAATCGATTGCTGGTTATAACCGATAGCTTGAATCTCTATTCAATTGAGAACATGTCCCAGATGCCGGAATTGCTGGCGTGTTTCCTGATGCCCATCCCATTGATGCTACGGTGCCTTTCTCCGATAGATGATATTGGGTATAGCTCACAACCATATATGCAAGCCCAAGCGACGATGTGCATCTCAGACCCTACACATCGACTCATATGCCTTACTGCGCTTTCTACTCGTGCCGGTTTATTTTTCAGTACTCAAGTCTTCATCATTTCCACGAGGATTTTCTTCGACCTTAACGAAATGGTAGCAGCAACGCCAATACCATGGCAACATTGGGGCCCTTCAAATACTCGTATCTTCCGGCACCCATTTCATTTCAAAATTCACATTAACGGAAATCGAGTCTTGCAGGCACTCCCTGTCGGCACGCGCAACTCGCAGTTTATGTTACATCTAATGGACTTTAGCCCGCTAGCTGTGACAAACAGGCGGGGTCTAGGACGAGTGGTGAAAGAGCCGTCCACGACATACATCAGTGCCGGTGGATTTGGAGAGAGCTTGACAACATCTCTGCCTTACGTCCAGGTCCTATTTTCGGACAGAAAGTTTGATTGTGCTGATTCAGAGTTGGAGGACATGTGGATCGACAAGGAGAGGATTTATGTGCTCAATGCAGATGTGGAACGCGCGATGTTCGATGGCGATCCGAATTTCCTAACAAGCCCTATTGACACACTTGAGGTCATTGACGTCTAGTCTAACTTACATGTACCTAGACTCGTCTCGGAAGTTCTAGGTATTTATATTCAGCGTTGTCCTAACTTCACGCTGAGACTCGTCTCGTTCTAGTTCCCACCATACTTGTCCTCCAGTACATCGTTGAAATAAGTTGACAACAGTTGCTCGCCATCCCCAATACAGACAATAGCATACCTCTTTCTAAGCGTCTGCAACTTTTGATCACAGACTTGTCGACACGTGACGCTTTGTCATCGAATTCCAGCCGCCGAAGCCCCTGACCTGCCCGAGACAGAGGCTACGTAGAATAGCCTAGAGTCACTCCCCTGTAAGGTGCGTAGACACATTTGCGAATGCGAAGGTTTTTAAGTGTTGCAATAACAGTTTCAGTCTTGTTCTTATGCAGCCTCGAGGATTTCTCCCCAAAGGCGAACCGTTTCGCAGATCGAATCAATGGCCACCCCTCATACACCACGATCACAGAAGTCACAGGTACCACCGCCAGATACACCCCTATTCCCTCGCCACACCTCACAATCTGATTATCGTACGGGGGATCTGAAGCTAGGCCGCGAGGGTGTTCTCATTGATTCGAGAACCCCGTTCATTTCCCTAGCGAAGTGTGTTGGTGCCATGCCTTCTCAGCAGCGTCTGTAGGAGATGCACGACGACTTAATTCGCAGTGAGATTCTCACCGACGATAACCTGGAATGGAAAGACTTCATTCAACCTGCGAAGATGTCCGAAGAGATGACGTTCAAGCCCCTCGAGGGAATCATCTTGGAACAAGTCCCGAATTGTGGATTATCCTACCTATTGAATCCAAATCAAATGCCCCTCTCAGAGCGCCACAATACTTCCCGGCCGGATGGATACCTTGTGCGGGCGAACAATCGGAATGCACCCAGGCTGTATTGGTTCGATATCGCTGTGCCATTTGAATTCAGGAAGGGACAAGATGCCAAAGCTCTCCGAGATGTAAGTTGTTGTCACAGATCTCTTCGGCGCCGGTCTATAAACATAAGATAAGCTGGAGCCTTCACAACATGATGCGCGAGGACCCCTGTCGTCGGGTTCCCTCCGGTATTACAATCGAGGACACGCAATTGAGATCGTGGCTCAGCAATCGTGGGTTTCTCGCAGTTACAGAGCCTATTAACTCCTTCAAGGTACGCCACCTTATCGCGCTGTATGTCAGGATACTAACTGGTATAATACATATAGGAGATTGATGGTGGCATCTCTCTTTCCTCATTTTGCACAGACTCTCCAAGACAGTTATGAAATGGCAAATTCTAAATACCCCTTGCTTGCGCTTGATGAATCCCTTCTGGAAGATGTGTATAGAGTATCTCCATGATGCGCAACAGCATGCTGGTGATATCGGACTTTGTCCGCTCCTCAACCTCAAGCAGAAGAGGCCCCGAGAAGAACGTGAAACGTCTCCTACGCCAGATAATGCAGGGAAGAGGATCCGACACGGTTGATTTTTTTATTGATTGTATGATACAGACGAGAAGATGCTAGCCGAGTATCTCGTAGAGTATAACTCTCAATCCCACGTACGTCCGGGTCCAGACCATACACATTAAAAAACAAAGATAATCACTATGACGGTAATTAATGTTCCCCTGACGATGCTAACTCTCACCATGTGGTCGTAGAACTCTTTCCTTGGTTAGACTTTTCACTCAAGTGAATACAGACGGTCATCGTGGAATAGCAGAATGCTTCATTCTTGGCAAGTTTGAGGTTGTGACAACTCCAATGTCCCTGCCTTACGTCGAAGTCGTATGGGGCAGGAAATTTAGTTTTTGGCGGGTTAGAAGACGTAGCTCGACAAGGACAGTATCTATATGCTCAAGGCTGAGGGATATCTGGAACGCGGTGTGGCAGATTTTTTTTCGTGCACCGCAGCAGGCTTGAGATCATTGATATCTTATAGAAAAGAGTATTTTCACTTACAACCGTTTATTCTGATCTCCGGTCGGCCCATTAGCAGGAGTACATGCCCTCCGAGTTTAGACTGCTTATCATACTATCTCCCGTAGAAGGCTTCACAGGGTTGTTGTTGCGTACGCTTTATCCGAAGCATTCGCTGCCCCCTTCCCAATCATAACTAGCAACAGTGTGTAACACGAGTCCGGGAGCTGCTGCAGCCATCTCGCTAAGATGAGATCAATTATTTAGTATGTACCGAAGTCAAATTGAAGTCATACACACTGACTCATGAGTGGTCCACAATTTGTTTGCACTGCAAATTGATTGTATCATGAGAAAGAGAAACCTTGCAAGCAAGGTAAGTATGCCGTACACCAGCGTACATGGTAAGTAGCAGAAGATGGATACATACAATGCACTCAAGCTCGAAAATGGAATACTATAGATGGTATATTTGAATCACAACCGAAAATTTGTCGAGAATAGCGAATGCTGAACATGAGATTAAGGAGAGGCAACAACGAGGACATTAAAGTTATATGTCGTCGGGTTAGCCTCAAAAGTGAAGTCTGTTGCCTGCAGATCAATGACGGTCTGCCCTCCTCGGGTTAGTGTGCCAGACATAGTCCCGCCGGGTTGTATGGGTACAGCTAACTTAGAAACGCCGGCCGGGACGTTGAAAGTTTGTGATTGACTAGACGAGGTCGAGAGTACGACTGTGGCAGGGGAGGTCGCCAGAACCACGGCCCAGACATTGTCTGAAGTCTAGATTTATCGCAGTTGAGATAAGTACCCCATTGATATGAACAAAGCACATACAATCTGGTAATTGGTTGGTTTTCCAACTGGGTCGTTTGACGCAGAAGCCGAGGCAGCATGTGGACGCGACCACATTATGAGCTGGTCTTTGGCCGGAGTGGGGTATGATCCTGTCTTGAAGGCTGAGGCGTAATAAGACGTAAGATTGAGCCAGCCTAAAGGACCTAAGTTAGCATTCGGATCATCTGTATAAACTAGTAAATGCGCACCAGTGTGATCATTGCCATCAACCCAGGCTTGACTCATGGGTTGGGCGCCCTCTATCGGACCAATGTAATGCGACTCTCCGAAATCATTCCAAGAAATGATTTGTACGATATCTACCTGGTCGCGGATTGTGATCAACGACTCCCACCGAGTAGCGTACAAGTGATCATCGCTGAGATAAATCCACTACATGAGCCTTGTCAGCGTCCGCAACATGTACGACGGAAGGGCGACCCACGTTTTTGTTGTAAGTTGACGGGCCATAATGGGTAAAAAACCACGGAGACACAGCTGCCATGTACGTTTTACCACCGCCCATTGCACCCAAGCTCGAGATGTATGTATCATCCGGAGTCGTTGACCCGATGACATTAGACAATGCAGAGCTGACGGTGGAGGATAGACCACTAGCGATGTCTCCAAGCAGACCAGGTATGGACGATACATATGAAGTCGTAACTTGAATTGGCCATCCGGAATTCCACTGAGAACAATTAGATTGATGCAGAATGTGATACTGGAATAACCTACATTGAACATGCCATCAATCACCCCACTGTAGGTATTGAACTGTGATGGATCGACGAAAAATGATGGCACAAAATGAACTGCGGAAGATCCTGTCAACTGTTGCACAAATTGAGTAGACCATCCAGAAGCGACGGATCCCTGTCCGAAAGTGCAAGTTTCGCCAGAGAAAGTTGAGGCCATAACGCGGCCATTGTAAAGCAGCTGATTGGGGTGCGTGGCATAGGTTGTTATATAAGTACGAAGATTTGCAGCGTCGGAAGCTGTGGTGCAAGGCAAAGAACTGTACGAATGATGATCTGCTAAAGAAGATGAAATGAATAATTAACTTACGACATATCAAAGGACATGAAGAGCTTGAAACCAGTTCCAGACTGGAGAGCGGCTTGATAGCTAGTGATTTGGTGAATCAGAAGTCCATTACTCAGTTAAAAACATAGGGACTTACGCATTGGCCACCTGCGAAGGCTGCCAAGAATCCACTCCTACGTTCAAAGCAAAGCCGTCGATTCCGCTGGAATGCGCAAGAAAGATATCCGCAAGCCAATTATCCATAGTATAGGGGTATGAATTTCCGACCATGAAGTGTGCAATAACATATTTCGATGATACAGGAGAGCTTGTACCAGTGGGTGCCTGGGAAGTTGTTGTCATAGTTGCCGGAAAAGAAGAAGAACTTGCAGGTGTCACGCTGGACGATGGTCCAGCAGACGAATTGAGGAGAAGTACAGGCTGCACAGCAGAATTGCATGAAAATCGGTGGTTGAAATGGTTTATGTGTCTGTCAGTCCTCAAGGGAGAAGCTAGGGAAAGGACGACAAAAGAAAGAAAAATGAGTGGAAAGTGCACAAGCATTGCTGGTGACACCATGAGTGAAACGAGTGTTATTAGGAAGTGAGTGGAAACCTGAAGGTTAATAAGGAGTTTGCGGCGCAGCCGACACGACTCAAGGATGCTGGTAAGTAATGAGAGAAAAAGAAGGGTTTGGACTCATTCTTATTATATATTATCGTAGGGCGCTTGATCCTAGTTAATGTACACAGAACGTCACGCGTCGAACATAAGCTGAGAACAATGACAACTGCCGTCACGGTCCGCCCGGCTACACCGAGCTTATTGTTCCATGTGACTCATCACGTGACCTCGACAACATTTAATTCCCAAGTCTTTGACATGACAGATATCGGGGGTTTTACCTCTTGCAAAATTTCAATCAAAAAGTAGATCAAGCGAAAGCTCATTCAAGTCCCAATGTACGACCTCGGCTTCGTATACGGTGTGCTTGCGGTCGAATCCTAGATGGTATTTTAGTATACGCCTTCACGGGTTAGTACGGCTGCAGCTCCTACCCCTCCACCGTGACTTGAGCCATCCGTGCATATTTGAATATTGTCGGTAAGTTCTCGTTGCTCTTTGATTGCGTCCTTTTCCTTGGGGGAGGTGTGTGCACGGTAGACTATTGGTTGCTTTTTGACCGAGTTTTGCAGCGGATCTATCGTTTCGACATTGTCGGGGTATATTTGGAAGGACGCTATTAGGTTGTGGAGTGATGAAGGGTGCCGGGATATGTTTCAGTGCTTGACAACGTGTTTGAGATGTGGGTGGAGAGGGTGGCGTTGGGGTAGAGTGGCGAGGCGTATCGCAGCTCGATGGCATGTCTTCTGGAGGAGAAGGGGGGGGTGCAGTAGTTTGGTGTGCGTGTCTTTGCCGTTCCTATGGATCCCCTCTGTTCTCTTGTCGAGTCGTCGCGGAATATTAGTTTGAACCATAAGTCAGCGCCATATGTGAATTTCAGTACTGCTACTGTGAGATATAACTGGCGCATGGAGAATGTAGTTACCACTTCGGCCTGCGCAACGCCTTCTTTTGGTGTAAGGTATTCTTTCCTCTCGCGCCCCTCACCACCTGCAGGTCCTCAAACTTCCTCTTCGCATACCGTCGTGCTTCCGCATCATCGACTAACTCGTCGACCAAAGTTCTCTTGCGATGAGCACGAGGAAGGTTGTCCGTACTTGCTGTGCCGAATGGCGTGTTCGTAGTCACAATAGTACCGATCTAAACCAACAAAATAAGCCTCTACGATACGATAGATCGTGTTGAAAACCTACAGCAAAATGTTTCGGGAGTCCTTTGATACCCTTCCCATCGCCGTCGTCTTTACGGTAGAAGCGTTTGGGATCAAGTTGATTGCGCAGGCGAAGAGCCTCTACTTCACGATGCAATCGAGGGAGATCGGCTTCAGCGGGTGCTGGAAGGTCAAACCAGCTTGGTCCAGCGGTTTGGTTTCTCGTCTGAAAAAATATATGTCCATGAGTCCTTCAATTGATACGGTCATAGTGAGACTTACAGGTGTTTTGCCGGTAAGCGTTGGTTTTGGAGGGGGTGCAGGAGCAATGGTTCCAGAGGTACTTGCCTCTGCGCGCTGTATGTCCGGGTCTCGTACAATAGCAGGCGCGTCGCGTCGATCTTTGGAAAATTCGAAATATGCAGGGGGAAGCTCCCCGGGATCCAATGGCGGCAATGGTCTATAGCGAAACTCAGCAAAATAATGAAGCATATAACATGCAATACCTTTCCGATTCGTCGCCACCCAATTTGATAATGTCTTCTCCGTCACCAAACACATGTGCCCTTTTCAACTTGACCGCCTCTCGAATATTTGACCTTGCGGTGTCTAAAAGAGACCGCAAGTAAGCATCGTCCAAGTCCGAGTCCGAGTCCGAGTCCGAGTAGGATGAATTTGAGCTAGTGTCAGACGAAGAACTTTCTGACGCCATGTCTTTTGTTGTTATTCCGTTTCGTTGAGCCGTTGCAGGCAAGGTTGACATCGTTTGAGATGGTGAGAATGTATTGACGTAGTCGATCTCGAAGTGATTTGGCAGGCGAAGCGCACGAAGCATGGATGGATTTGAATGTGACTCACACCGTGACGGTGCATACATGTAACGGTCACTCAGAGATCGTGCTCGTCACTGACTGCTTCTCACCCTTGTCTAAAACGTATTGGACTCATTTATTCCTATAGCTACAGCTACTCTACTATATGCTCGGCCGACGTACTTACTACCCGGTTCTGTCCCCACTGCCTCTCTTTACCGTTATCACCCGAGCTTCAGTAGTATAAAAGCAGAGTCCATTCGTAGTCGTACAGTAGTGTTTTCTGGACCCAAATATCAGACTTTTATCCTGTTATTCCCCGAGAACGTTCTTCTCTTGTGCCATTGACTTCGAGCTTCGCGAGCTAAATAGTCACTGTCACATCTTTTTTAACATCCAAAAGTCTACCCACTTTTCCATAACAAACCTTCGATAAAACTCCTCGTCCCTGGAACGATTACGGTTAGGCCCACCGTAAAGTACCACGACGAAACAAAACCATACCATGTCTTCGCACTACAACCTTCGATCCCAACGTTCCGCAACGCTGAATGCTGAACAAACGATCCCTGGGACTCTAGTTGAGTCTCCTTTAACTGAAGTTAGCACTAACGATGCAACCCCAACCCCGTCCCCTACCGAGAGATCCTTCTCGCGTCTGGGTGACTCCGTTCTCAGACCCGCTCGCTCCTATAGCGACGTGGTACAAACGAGGTCCGATACGCCCCAGCCAGAGGCAGGAGTGCGTTCGGCTAGCGTCGATAGCGCAATAACTGGTCGACGTCAGTCGACCGGTGTAGTAGAAAATTGGAATGACGAACCTGTTAATAACCCGTTCGTCACTACCAGTGAATCCTCGGCAGAGTCAGAGACTGGAACACCATGGCAAACGGTCAAGGACCGCCGAATTAAGTCTAGACGGACAGCTAAAAGCAAGCCCAAGACAAAGGGTCAGATAGAACCCGACTTAGTGAGAGAAGCAGAAAAATATCTCACCCAAGAAGAGAAACAACGTATCTCTGATAGGAGACGCCTTGAAGAAAGGGCTCGCGTAAGTGATCAAACGTCGTCCTCACCTGACGAAGGCCCATCTAAAGGAAAGGGTGCGGACCCCCGGAATTGGGGCAATGCAAACCTAGATGGATCCGAAGTAGACCTGGAGGCTCAGAGAGAAGCGTTAGCCACTTGGACAAGATCCAAGGAGTGGGCACAGGAAAACCCACGGGAGCAGACAGATTCTGAAGAGGACAGGAGGGATCCTGTCCAGGCGGCCATCAGGGCCACTGAGAAAAGGATCACTGAACAATTCGAACATCAGATCCATCAGCTAAAAGAGCGGCTGAGGGAGGCCGATAAACTCACCAGGGATAAGACTAAGGTGCTTCCGAGCCGGTCCACCGTTCGGAAAACGAGCGATAAGGAAAATCGTCACCCGGTAAGAGAGATGGTCGAGAAGGCTGCTAGTCAGCCTGCCAGGAAACATGGATTACGGGAGACCCCTCCCGCTATGGATGCAGCCGCCCAGATAGCCCCAAAAAGTTACCTGGGCCGGGCATTTGAGAGCATGACCCAGAAGAAGGGGAAGGGGGCTAAACCCACCCGAGTGCATTTCCCAGACGACTCATCGAGTGACTCTTCCGATTCCTCCACCACCACTCAATCTTCATCAAGTGAACTGTCGAGTGAGAGCGAGGACAGCTCATCCAGTTCCTGCGATAGAGGAAAACGTGCCTCTAAAAAACGGCATAAGACCAAGAAACGCAAAACTAAACGAAAGACTACCCTGAAACCCATCCCCCCAAAGGAGTACGATGGTTCGGTCGACCCACGGGCGTTTCACCGTTTCATAACAGAGGGAACTGCGTATGTGGAGGACGGCAACGTACCACGGGGGAGACGAGTGTTCGTGCTATCATACTACCTTAAAGGAAAAGCACATGACTTCTATGTCCGGCAGGTGTCAGACCGGCCGGGGGAATGGAGACTCAAGGAATTCTTCACGGAGTTATTCAATTATTGTTTCCCGCTTGACTTCCGTACGAAACAGCGTAAGAAACTGTACCGATGCTACCAGGGCGACCAGCGAGTCCGAGATTACCTATCAGAACTCAACGAACTATGGATGATGATTGGGAACGTACCTGAAAGAGAGAAGGTAGTCAAATTCTGGTTCGGCCTGAGTGCCAGTATCCAGAATGAGCTCTACAAGATGCAGCTAAACCCGGAAGTGTCCTCGTTGAGCGAGGTCCAACGCATCGCCGAGATAATCGAGCTGGCCGAGTCTGCCGTTTCCAACGGTCGCGGCCGTGAAGAAGGACCCAAGGCCCCTAAAAAACAGGGCAAGGATCCTAAAGGTCACGGGCAGCCGAAAGGCGAGGCACCCCGAGGATCCGACAAGGGGAACCATGGCCAGAGGGACAAGCAGTCATCAGGCTCGAGTCGCAGGGATAGAGTACATCGACCTGCACAGAGTAAGCGCTCAGAACGTCCTAAAGACGAAAAGATGAGCCGCGAGGAGCACGACCGTCTTGTATCCGAAGGACGATGTTTTATCTGCAAAGAGGCAGGACACATGTCCCGTCAGTGTCCTAAACGGATCACAGTGCCGTCGACTCACAAGGATAAGCCACCCGGAGTGCCTAACTACGCCATGCACATAGAAACGGGGCTGGACGGAGAACGTCAGGCTCTCGAAGACAGCACCGAATTGATCACCGAGATTCCTCTGAACGTCGCGCTCCTGCAGTACGAAATACCTAAGAAACCGGTCTACCGAACGTGGGGAGTGGCTGATGAGCCTATAGGCGATCCGTTAGCGCGCCGTGCTGAGGAGATACTAAGACAGAGCGCACCTTATCCAGGGGACGACTTGACAAGTGAAGAAACCTTTGCTAAGGACAGGTTCTTGATCTATCGGATATCAGCCGTCCGTCACATCATAATGGACCATGGAACTCACCTGAAGGAAGAGTTAGAGATTCCTTCCTTCCTGCTGCGTAACCCAGCGTTCTTCGTGGGTGACTGGTATGCAAATCGCCTGGCTGAGGACTGCGAAGTACCTAAGTCCATGAGGCGCTGTATGCAACGCTGTAAGCCGATGGGAGACCCTATAGCTGATCGTGTCGAGGAGATATTGAACTGGGAAACTCGGTTTCCGGGAGAACCAATTGAAGATCGGTTCATCTGCCATCGAACAGCCTATGGCGATGACATCATCTACGAGATATTGGATCAAGAACTAAACTATGTGCTGAGGGCGGAGGATCATTTCCTCTGTAATGAGAAGTTGAATGTAGCTCACTGGTACGCGAAGCACCTGTTAAAGGGCTACAAGCGACTGAACACGCTGATGCTAAGCAAAGAGTTGGAGTGGGAGAATCACCACTTCCGGTCGTTGGAGACTGGTGATCTCAGTCCAATGGAGTGCGCGCTGGAAGGTGTAGTACATCAGCTCTACGCGATCCCAGACATGCAGTTCGAAGGGACGGCTCACCGTTTCCAGTTAGTCGAACTGAATGGTCAGCAGGTAGCGCCAGGGAAGTACCCTGCCATACAACGTAACTCGGCGATAGCCCGAGACTTCAAACGACTCATCCCCAAGCCTGTCGTCGTGGTGGCCCATGTGAACGGCTGCCCGGTCCGAGCCCTTATCGACACAGGATCGCTGGCCGACTTCATGTCTTCCACACTAGCGGATCAGCTGAAGGTGAAACGGATACCTCTAGAGAAGCCACTCACCATCCAGCTGGCCGTGCAAGGGTCGCGCTCCAAGGTGAACTTCGGGGTTAAGGTGCAGCTAGCTTATCAGCACATTAAGGAAGAAAGATTCTTTGATATCATAAACTTACAGAATTATGATTTAATCCTGGGGACGCCATTCCTCTTCCAACATCAAGTTACGGTCGGCCTGAACCCGTCCCGGGTGATGGTAGGTAGCGACCGCGCATTACCGGTCAAGGGCGAACAGGTAGCTGTCCTGGAATCGAGGGCGGCAGGGGCCGTCGAGGAAGATCTGACCCGTGCACGTCAACAGCTTTGCGAGCTGGCCCGGCCACTGTGTGCCAAGGCCAGCACCACCGGTTTGCCCCCTTTAAGGGCGATCAATCATACAATTCCCTTGATAGATCCGGAGAAGACTTACCGTTGGAGGCCTTCTCGTTGCCCAGAGCCCCTGCATCCGCAATGGGGGGAGAAGCGACAAGCTTACCTAGCGTCAGGCCGCTGGCGTATGACGAGTGCCGGCAACACCATGCCCATGTTATTCATCCGGAAGCCGGGCACGGATAAACTACGCACCGTATTCGACTTGCGGGAGCGCAACACTAATACGCGCAAGTTATCATCTCCCCTACCGGACATTGATGGGATCCTTCGCCGGGTCGCGAGGAGACAGTACCGGTCCATCATAGACGGACAAGACGCCTATGAACAGATAAGGATAGTGCCCGAGCACGTCGAGCGCACAACGGTCACTACCCCCGACGGAAACATGGTTAGTACTGTGCTACAGCAGGGGGACTGTAACGCACCCGCTACATACCAAGCCCTTATGAACCACCTATTCGGCGAGTTCATAGGCCGGTGGATGGACGTCTACCTCGACGACATCATAATATACTCTGAAACGTTAGCGGAGCACATGGAGCACGTGAGAACCGTCCTACGGATCTTAGAAAGAGAGAGACTTTACCTCAGCGAGAGTAAGTTGCAGTTCCTATGCAAGGAACTTAAGATCTTGGGCAGGGTCGTGGACGACGACGGGATCCGTATGGACCCCGCCAAGGTAGACAAAATCCTCGCCTGGAAGACACCTACCAACCGCGACGCACTCAGGAGTTTCCTGGGTGCTGTCGGGTTCCTGGCAGATGACATACACCGGGTCAGAGTCCCGATGGGCACGCTTGCCGAGGTTACGGGTGACACGGTGCCGTTCCGTTGGGACTTCACCCAGCAGAGAGCTTTCGACGAAGTTAAACAATATGTCGCGACTTGTGCGAAACACTCACGGGTTCCACTGGACTACTCCGCCGACGCGGACCCCATATGGCTGATGTCCGACGCAAGTGGTAAAGGCATTGCTTGCGTGATCGCCCAGGGTGTCGAATGGAAAACAGCCCGGGTGGCTGCATTCTACAGCGCCAAACTGAACCCAGCGCAGCAGAACTACCCCGTTCATGAGCAGGAGATGCTGGCTGGTGTTGAGGGGATGCTGCGGCACCGAGACATCCTACAAGGGGCACGGTTCACCTGGTTGACCGACCACAAGGGGTTGATCCACTTACTGCAACAGCGAGACCTGTCCGGACGACAGGCTAGATGGTTGGAAAAGCTGGGGGAGTTCGATTTCACCGTCAGATATCTGCCGGGGATCGAAAACGTCTTACCTGATGCGTTGTCCAGGATGTATTCCTTCGATGCACCAGGTACAGTGCGGGCTCCCAGTGAGTTCACATCCCATGATGAAGGGAGCACGGGAACGACGGGCGGCACGCTGCCCAGCCTGATATCCATGCCAGTACTGGTGGGTATGGAAGCCAGAGCACTGGATCCCCCCAGGCGGAGTTCACGTCTGGCAAGTTCTGGCGCTGACCAGGGGACGATGGTCAGTCCCCACTGAGGCGGTCAGTAGCGTCCGGCGAGGACGCGATATTATCAGTAGCGAACCTGCCAGTAGCGACCGACGAGGACGCGGTACTACAAGTAGTGACCCTGCCGGTGGCACCCAACAAGGACGCGTTACTATCCCTAGCGACCGACGAGGACGCGTTACTAAGGTTCGGGAAGTGCCTTCACCTGCAGAGACAGGGCGGCCGGAGACGGCAGCTGAGTTTCGCGAGGCGAATGGCTCCCCATTTCGTCCTTAGAGGCCCTAAGGAACGAAAGGAAGGGGGGGATGCTGGACAGAAGACCAATCAGCAGTCGCCTCTAGACGTGGGCTGCACCAACGAGCCCGGTGAGGATGCACCAAACATGACGAGGTTCCCGGCGGTTTATCCGGACGAAGATGAGCTGATAGTTGGTATCAGGAATCAGTACGCCAGGGACCCGTTCTTCAGACAGATTTTGGACTCACCAACGGAATACCGGAATTTCCAAGTAGATGAAGGCCTCATCCACCTGCGTCTGAAAGACAAAACATTATTATGCGTACCAGACGTGAAAATACAAGAACGCACCGTCCGGGAGATAGTCATATCCCAAGCTCATTCCTTACTAGCCCACCTAGGCGCCTCGAAGACGTTGACCTACCTACGCGACCACGTATGGTGGAAGACAATGGTGAACGACGTCAACGCATATTGTGCGTCGTGCATGACCTGCAAGAGAAGTAAACCGTCCAATCAGAAACCGTACGGTCTGCTAAATCCCTTACCTGTCCCCACAAGACCCTGGGAGTCGATAGGAATGGATTTCATCGGTCCGTTACCAATGTCTAAGGATCGCAATGGTGAATATGACTGCCATAACGGTGATCATAGAATTGCTCACTGGGATGGTGCATCTCGTGCCCAGTAGAGTCAACTACACGGCCAAGGAGGTGGCAGAACTTGTGTTTGCCGAGGTATACAAACATCATGGCCTACCTCGAGCAATTGTAAGCGATCGCGATGTGCTGTTCACAAGCACGTTCTGGACTCACATGAACAAGTTGCTGGGCATTAACCAGCGAATGTCGAGCGCCTACCACCCTGAGTCCGACGGGTCCACAGAGCGGGTGAATCGGACCATCGGGCAGATGGTCAGAGCCATAATTTCCCCCACCCAAACGGACTGGGTAACGAAACTGCCGGCCATAGAGTTTGCCATCAATACGTCAAGCTCTGAGTCAACAAAAGAGTCACCTTTCATGCTGAACATGGGCCGTGTGCCCCGGGCCATGGTTTGGAACAATCTGTCCAAGGACGAATATCCCAGTGTGCGTGTCTACCTGCAGAAGATGAAGAGCGCTACCATGAAGGCGCATGACTCAATAATAGAGGCCCGTGTGAAACAAACGCGGAACGCAAACCGAAGACGTCAGCTATGTCCGTTTAAGGAAGGAGATTTGGCCTACGTGTCAACAAAGAACATGTCCTTACCCAAGGGCCTAGCTCAAAAGTTCTCTCCAAAGTACATCGGACCCTACAAGCTGACACGCGACTATGGCAACAACTCATTTATGCTGGAGCTGCCGAACCGACTAAGGCAACGAGGTATTCATCCTGTCTTCCACTCGTCGTTGCTACGCATCCATATCCCTAACGATGATCGATTGTTTCCTGGACGGACTGACTCACAGGTATTCGACTTCGGAGATCTACCCGACCGCGAGTGGACGGTTGACAAGATCCTGTCCCACTCCGGCACGAAGGAAGGGGCGTTGTTTGAGGTAAAGTGGCGAGCGGGCGATGTGACCTGGCTGCCATATGAGCAGATTTCTCACCTAGCTGCTCTGGCCGAGTACCTGGACTTACTAGGTGTTCCTGACATTCGGAACTTAACGGACGGTGAAGGGAGTCCTCCTAACGACGACCCTCGATCATATTTGGGGCACGTTTCGCTAGAGGACCGAGCTGACTTAAATACAGCCTCAGCTCCCTCATATCCCACCAACCGTCCTAGCACCCACATCACCCCTTCACATCTCAACACCAACCAACCCACCTCAGCCTCTCATCTATCCTGGTTTGAGGACGGTGAAATCAGCTTATTCGCCATGTCCCACGCCCCCGACGAATCCCAGCTTCTCTACTTCTCGGCGTATGGCCAGGACGTACTAGTTGGCAACCCCGAAAACGAGGACGATACTCACCTTGTGACGCGCGAGCAGTTCAGGCTCTTCGTCGCCTACTCTCATGCTCTACGCAACAAACCCCCCACGCTCGACCCCCTAGCCCCCTGGGCTATGAGTTCTTCGCCCACGCTTTCAATAGCGAGGGGTTGCAGTCCACGGCATCGTACCTTGACGAGTCCGGCGCGGTGGTGAGCATCGGGTCTGCCCTAGAGGCCACGGACGTCATCAGCGACGAAGAAGATAGTGAGATCACTGTGTCCACCTCCCGTATGGAGCAGATGGAGAAGATGGTGTGGCACACTGCGATCAGCGCCGCCCATCAACGAGAGAAGATAGAGCAGAGACGCGCTGGTCAGAGGAAGGAGCGCAACTTCGGGCGTAAGCAGACGCAGAAGCTCAATAAAAGGGGGCTGGGGAGGGTTCGAAAACAACCCGACCTGCCCACTACATACCCGGTGATGGGTTCCTCCTCCGTGGCGCCCCCCGAGGAGGCTATGGCCGAGATGGACTGACGTCCTTAGGTCAGAGAAGGCGAGGGAGACGTAGGTCACCCTGGAGGGGGAGATGTAACGGTCACTCAGAGATCGTGCTCGTCACTGACTGCTTCTCACCCTTGTCTAAAACGTATTGGACTCATTTATTCCTATAGCTACAGCTACTCTACTATATGCTCGGCCGACGTACTTACTACCCGGTTCTGTCCCCACTGCCTCTCTTTACCGTTATCACCCGAGCTTCAGTAGTATAAAAGCAGAGTCCATTCGTAGTCGTACAGTAGTGTTTTCTGGACCCAAATATCAGACTTTTATCCTGTTATTCCCCGAGAACGTTCTTCTCTTGTGCCATTGACTTCGAGCTTCGCGAGCTAAATAGTCACTGTCACATCACCCAAGCCAACCCGTGACCCGTAGCACCCGACCCGCACGCTACCCGCAGGTTCCACCCGGGCGGGTACCCGGGCACTCTCTACCCATGTCAGGCCCTACTGATATCTCGGGCTACAATTCATTGGTAATATGGGTACGACTAAAACACGGTGGTCTATTCACGTCAGATACCAAACAATAACATAGACACTAGAGCAGCATTCAAAACATGGACGTGATGTCGAGAACGAGCAAAACCAGCAGCAAGAATAGTAACGACAAAGCTTGAAAGATGCAGAAACTGAAGGACATAGAGATACGCTGTAAAACTGGATGGCTATGAGTGAGATGTTGGTAACAAATGCAGCAGGTAATTAATTTGGAACAGTAAATAGGTAACGGGGTTATTGATGCACGAGAGCGAGTGCGCAACCAGGCGCAATGTCCAAACAAGCGGCACTTATCGAAGCGCGTTCAGCTTTCCTTCATCTCTTCATCGATGGTGCTTCCAAAATAACACTTATGAGCAGGGGTGGAGGAGATACCAGGCGACATATTGGATGAGAAGTGCATCGCAGAATCAGGGCTGAGTAATCCGGAAGTGTTAGGACCGGATACAAAATAATTCATGAGGGGTTGGCAAGGAACAGGTATGATGAGCGCGGGAGGCGCGAGAGTACGCGTGTATTTTGCGGATGGTAATGGTGATGGCGGTGGAAGTGGAGGAAGAGGGGCAGTAGGAGGCGGAGCGAGTGGGACGGTCCGCTTGACTGCACGACGCAGGCTGCACAACATGAATATTAGAAGACATACAATTACAGGCATTGAAGCCACTCACCGCAGTGGAGGGCCTGCATTCAGACTGCCACTCCTTAATCTTCCGAAAAGACTGCTGGATTCTGAAGCGTTCTCTGCGACGCTGCCTGCACGACTCCGGGTGGGAGACATGATGCCAGTGCGCTGAAGCGCGCTGCCCGCATTTCGGGTCGGGGATTTGATAAGAGCCATCGGATTCGCGCCAATATTCATGCTACTGCGACGCCTGCGCATGCGAGAACGGTCAGCATTCGCAGTGGGTATTGCAACAACGTTATTTGAGTTGCCACCGGGTGTGGGCGTCACGCTCAGATCGCGATCGACAGGGTGCATAGGACTGGATGGCATTGGCATGGGCGAGGAGGGTGGTGCAGGAGTTGTTGCTCTTGGATGGTAAGGCGCGAGAAGGCCAGAAGAAAAGAAGGCAGAATAGGTGACCATCGTTAAAATCGAAAAGGTCTGTCTGAATTGAAGATGTTGGTCAAAGAACAAGTTGAACCAAACCGAATTTGAACTTCTTCTCGATAAGGATATTATACAAGGGACGTTGATTTTCATTTCGCTAGAAAGTTCTGCCTTATTGTCACCGGTACCTCTCAGGCTAGCGAAAACTGAGTACTGAAGTGAGATCTGCTGCATCTGCACTGCACAGGAGTAATCGATGCCAACAGCATAATTCACCTGTCCGATATCGCAAGCTTGCACTACTAGCTAGCAGCTAAGTCGTAACGTAACCTACATTTAAATGATATTATGTAAAAACGGAAAGGTTGCCCAACCCTTTTGACACCTTTGCTACACGGCAAAACAAGGCCGACTAGCTCAGTTGGTTAGAGCGTCGTGCTAATACGGTTCATTGATAAAAGTGTTTATGGTACAATTTCACGCTCTTATCGATGGACTTGATACGCGAAGGTCTTGGGTTCGATCCCACGTTGGCCAATCTTTTTGTAGACTCTTGTTGCCTTCAGCACCGTCTAACTTGGTTCTAGGCGTTCGTGAATACTCTTTTGAACGTCACAGGGACGACAGACCTTTAGTTGAATGTTCGACAGGCTAGTGATGCCCAGTGAGGTTGTGGCCTGCCAGTATAGGGTACAGGCTGTATTACGTCATCTGCCGCATTCTTACTACGCTCTGCGATCCATCAACACGATTGCTCGTGTGTTAACCGAGCCAACATGTTCTTTATCGTGAGTACCTCTCTCCGAGAGATCCATCACCATTCAATCCGTCATAACCAAACTTCAATGCTCAGAAAGAGTTGACGCATACAATTCT